ACAGTTAGCAAGAAGCCTGCCACGGCCATACAGTTTGTAAGCAATATAAGTCTCTGTGTTTACTTGGTTGAGTCTGAGCGGCTGTGGGACTGGCGGGTGACAAAGATTTGTCCTGACTGTGGGTAAGGCAGGAAAACTCTAGCTACAAAACAGTGTCTTGGTAGGGTGTACTACTTACTATTCTGACAACAACCAACTCCCAGCCAAGCATGTTTCACTTTCACAGCCCCATATTTCCTACCACCCCTACTAATGTGGACAATTCTGAAGTAAATAGCATCATTTCATCGTCTTCAGATTATTGTGAATAATGAAAAAAATAATCGGAAGGGATCTGGTTGCAAACTAGAGCTGACAGGAAAGTGACCAAATAGGTTTATGCATTGCACTGGACAAAGTCTCCACGTATCTGCAGTCTGTGCGTTAGGACTGAAGAGCCTTGTGTCTCCTGTCCTGGCTAGCTCAGGGTCAGAAGAACGCCACTTGATGGGTAACGGAAGTTACGTAGTAGATTCTTACAGAATCTTCTACAGTAATCCCTTTAGGCTCTTTGGGTTTTTAAGTGTTGGTGAGATGACTGTTCTCAACCTAATACCCTTGGAAGTACTCAAGTATGTCCCAGCTGTTCCAGCTGTTCCTTTGTTCTGTGTGTGAGGAAACCAGACAGGCTTGGACTGGACACAGGAAAGCTGCCAGCTCAGGGAATGGAAACTGTAATACAATTCAAATGACTTAAGGGCTTTTGTGTGCTCTAAGAGGTCAAACCTGGGCCTCATGCATGCCAACCACACACTCTACCACCGAACCACACTCCCAGGCCACACAGCAGACTCACACCAGTTCTTCATGAGAGTGTTCCTGAAATGGCATCCTCCCCACCTGCGAGTCAACTTCCTGCCACAATCTCGCAGAACTACCTTTGTGGTCCTTTCCTAAAGTTCATTGAAGATACGGTCGAATAGAGTGATAACCCTGACCCAGCAGTGCCGACCTTGACATGCAGGGCCGACCCCGATATAGCAGGGCCACAGACAACAAAACTGAAAGTTTCACTCACGCTTGGTGAGTGTTCTAGAAGCCCCCTCTGAGAGGACTTGTTCCTAGAGCTCTGCTGAAGTGACATCACCCGTTCACTCAGAACAGTGAGATACCCACTGCCTGAAGGAACCAGGGAAAGTGTGTCCCTCTGACATTCACTCCTGGAGAAGTCAGAACAAATCCTCGATTTCAGTGTTTCCCCACTGTGGACCTCCAGCCAAAGTTTACCATCACTATATAAAGTTCTTTTTTCCCTTTTAGATGCATGGTTCTCGTAGAGACATAAGATGGAAAGCGTCTGTTTCCATTATGAACAGGGATACCAAAAAATCAAGTTTTGTAATATTTGGTCTGGGCCCCTTTTTTTTTCACAAAGCACTCAGTCTTCAAAAGGCCTGTGCCAATCTGAAGACCATTCTAGCACTCCTGAAGTTTTGTGATCAATGCTCTTTAAGCTGTATTGTCTCTGAGACAGCTGACAATCATGACAATCAATAAATCACAATACTTAGGTTTATTTTTAAACATTCACTTTCAACTATGGACACCCCAGTCAGACTGTTCTCATATGCACGTTTTATCAATCAGAAAACTCTCAACTGCTCCACTTTCCAAGGCGCAAACTCTCCATTCTCCGTCTTTGCAGTTCTCAGTACTCAGGTGTCTTCCGCACAATACAGCATTCCATTACTCCCTGGGCTCCCTTTATGTTCTCACAGGTGAGGCCCTCCCTGAGGCTCAGCATGCTGCTTGTGTACCACAGGCTTACCACAGAGCTGCTCATCCGGTTCACATCTATAATTTCACTCAATCTGTTAGCAGCTTTGTGTCACAGATACAATGTTCCTTTCGTGTGTGTACATATGTGTGGGGAGGTCAGAGGATATGGGCTTAGTGCCTCAGGTGTCATCCACCATTTCTAAGTCAGGGTCTCCCTCTGGCCTAGAACTTGCCAAGCAGCCTAGGCTGGTTGGCCAGAAGGCCAAAGGGCCTGTCTCCACCTCCTCAATGCTGGGATTATTAGCACACACGACAATGCTAGCTTTTTCATTTTTTTTTTAACTTGGTTTTTGGAGACTTGTGGTGGTTTGACTAGGAATGGCCCCCACAGACTCATGTGTTTGAATGCCTGGACCATAGAGAATGTCACTGTTAGGAGGTGTGGCCTTGTTAAAGAAGTGTGTCACTGTGGAGGTGGGCTTCGAGGTCCTACATGCTCAAGCTAGGCCTAGGGGGACAGCCCTTCTGCTGCCTGCAGATCCAGATGCAGAACTCTCTCAGCTACCTCTCCAGCACCATGTCTGCCTGCAGATCCAGATGCAGAACTCTCAGCTCCCTCTCCAGCACCACGTCTGCCTGCAGATGCGGATGCAGAACTCTCAGCTCCCTCTCCGGCACCACGTCTGCCTGCAGATCCGGATGCAGAACTCTCAGCTACCTCTCCTGCACCATGTCTGCCTGCGTGCTGCCATGTTTACTGCCATGTTTACAAAATGGACTGAACCTCTGAACTAACTGTAAGCCAGCCCCAATGAAATGTTTTCCTTCATAGGAGCTGCCATGGTCGTGGTGATAGAAACCCTAAGACAGGACTGAGCTTCCGAGGCTGGCATTCTATGGACAGTCATCTCTCTATCCTGTCATTTCCCCCTAAATGCAGTTTACTTTATAAGCAAGCTATCCAAAGTAAACTATGTCAAAATTTGAGCCAATAAGGAGTTGTATTCAATAGAAAACAACAAGGAATGTTTAGGGGAGGAGGAAACAGCACTGAGTTTACAATGTGGGTCCACAAAGACAAAGCATGTACTTTCCCGTCTTGGCCTACCCATGGACTGTGCAAGAGTCAGTATGGTCAAAATAACAGAGAAGGAAGAAATTACAACATTAACACTAACCTGAAAGTCTGAACAAGGTTTTTAAGTTCAGAGTAAATATCGCCTATTGTAATCTGAAGAGGACCCAAAAGTCCAGGCAATCTGAAAAGAAAAAACAAACAAACAAACAAAAAAACCACACATTATTTAAAGCTAGAACTTCATTACTGTGTAGAGACACTTGGGCGGGCATGCCTGCCTCTGGGGTTTCCATGACCACTGTGACAGGAGGCAGACGTGAAAGTTACACTACATTTTGACTGGGGAGAGGTCAAAGGAGCGATATCCTAACTCCAGCTCTGCGTCCGTGCTACTGAGTGTAGAGCCCTGTGACGCAAAACCACCCCGGCTCCTGCATCTACCTCTTTCTGTCCCTGGTTTTCTTACCTGAAGAGCAACCTGTCATCACCTTTAATTCCATAGTTTACTATGAAAGCATTATCCTCTGAATAATCACATAAACACTATTCCAACAAATACAAGAAGATGCCTATAGAAATATTTTAGTGATGAAGATAAGCCTATCAGTAGGTGATTTATATGATAGATACATTTAGTAATCCACTTAAAAAACCTTTAAAACAGTACAGATTAATGTTATTGGAATTGTAAAATGGTAAATGTGGGCAAAAAATGCATATGCCACATAACACATTTGAAACAAAAATACACAATGCTTATTATGCACAAAATATATTCCATTCCTTCTTAGAGTAGTTTTTTTATAGCAGGAAAGCAAAGGAATGAATATGTACACCATACACAGCACATGGAGAGGTGTCTAGCCTGCCCTCAAACAGGAGTGAACATACACACCATACGAAAGAAGCACACAGAGATGTGTCCAGCCTGCCCTCAAACTTTCTATGTAGTTGAAGACAGCCTTCAACTCCTCATCCTGCTGCTTCCCTTCCCGAGGCCGGTCCACAGGCACGCAGGGCACCCAGCTCAGACCCCACCTTTCCAGAGTCTGCTGTTTGCCTCGTTTTCTGTCCCTTGTTCTACCCCAGAAGTACTTTACAGCAAATCTTGACATCATGTCACTGGACCCATATCTCTAAATACAAACATATTTTTTATACAATTACAATAACAGCACCATACCTAACCATTACTTTTTTCTGGTGTTTATAAAACAAAAAAGGTCAGCCCAGAAAACTGGCATTTCAAAGCCTTTCTCCCAATCCTCTGGCTCTTAGAGTCTTTCTGCCTCCTCTTCTACAATACCCCCTCAGCCTGGGGTGTGTGTGTGTGGGGGTGTTGTATAAATGTTTTGTTCAGGGCTCAGCACTCATCCATCACTTTCATTAGCTCAAACAGCTAGGAAATTATTTCCCACGAAATTCCTGTCCTCTAACTATGTACTTGAAATGATAATCTATCCCAATACTCAAAACTCAAATAGCCAAAGTCTGATACTGTCTTGTACTGTATCAGATAGGCGGTGATTTATACTGAATTATTTCACAGATATAAGCATAAAGATTAGTATGAAAAAAAAAAAAAACAGGGCTGGAAAGACGGCTCTGTCAGTAACATGTCTCCCACCCAAGCGTGAGGACCTGTGGAGGAGACAGGTCTATCCTGGGCCTCAATGGCCAGCCACCATAGCCTGTCAGGAAGCCCCAGGTCCCAATGAGATCCCGGCTCAGAAGCAAGGTGGAGGGCTCCTTGGAAATAATATCAGAGGTTGGCTTCTGGCCTCCATTCCCACATACATGGACCTGCATGCATATGAACACATACGTAGATTCTGAATATACACATATACCACACACACAGGGCAGAATTAAAGACACATATACAGAACCCAACATATGGACATGCTCAATAAATATTAATTTAAACATTCATTCAAAGGTAAAAATTAAGAATAGATCTTCTTTGTGGTCAATTTTTTTAGATTGAACCAAACCAAGACACAATGCCATGTCAGGCATGGTGGCACTTCCTTAACCCCAGCACCCACAGGCAGAGACCAAGGCAAGATGATCTCTGGGAGTTAGATGCTAGCTTGGTCTATATAGTGAATTTCAGGCCGACTATAGTGAGACTGTTTCCAACAGAACGCAAATCAAACCAACAAACCAATCAACCAAAGATCCCAATCAAAGAGGATTTCAGGAGTGGCTTAAAAATATATATTTTTAAAGTAAAATAGTTGTACTTCCCATTTTATCACCAGGAATATTTTACATCTTGGCTGTTCAAAAATATTATGTTTCCAGAAAATGTTTTTCTTCTTTTCAAAATACTACCAAACTACGACTTCTCTGTATTTTCAACTCCTTAAATGGTGATTGATACATTTCATGTTTTCTTGCTAAAAGAAGGCAATGCAGGTTTAAAAGTTCAAGGTAGATCTTATACCTTTGGAAAAAAGATTTGGAAACTTTTTTGTTTTAAAGACAGAAACAAGAACACTTTTTAAGTGTTATTTGTAACTGGGCTAATTTTAAGAACAATACTTTCCATCACAGGACGCTTCAAGCCAAAGTGCACGTTGAACTGACTGAAACTCATGTTCTTGAGTGTGAAGTGGGCTGTGAGTATGCAGAGGGGCTGTGGCACCGTCCAGTGATGTGACCGTTCACCACAGCTGAGCGTGCTTCAACAGCTCTCTCTCTCTGCTGGCTGAGGAAGACGTGGGGTATTTGGTTTTTCTACTCTACAATCTCAGTTTCCCCCTTTATGATATCCTTGGGTCGTCTACAAAAAGAATTTAGTACTGAAAAAATGTCTGAAAAGATACAATGTTAAAATGGGAAATTTTCAAATGAGGAAATTCATGTAAGCTTTTCATATCATCTTTAAAAAATTTATAAATTACCAACTCATGAAAACATCCAGTTAATTTAAACCTCTTACTAAGTCAGGGGGACACATCTATACTTACACTTTGCTCAATTTTTCAAGAACAATCCGTCTTCTAATCTGGTTCTGGGAACTTGAATCAATCAGTGGAAAGCTGGGACCACGCTGAAACACATTCTTAAATGAAACAAACAGAAAAATAAACTGGTATTTTTTTCTTTTGATGAGTGCAGCAATTAACATTAAATAGAAAAGTTCACTCCTCTAGTATGGAAACAGAGTTAAGAATTAAAACATTTAAACCTGAGCATCAGCTTAGTCATTACCAGGCTGAGGAGCTGGCCTGGTCCATCAGCCCACTTTTGAGGGTAGGTGTCTCTGTAAAATGCTAAACTCGATATAAATGTACATTTAAGGATTAACACCACCAATTACTAGAACTTGTGGGAAAGTCCTGTTTTTAGAAAAGATCATTCAAATGAACTAGGAATGAGAAAGTTGAAAGGAAAAGAAAACAGAATAAACCCAGTTCTCCTGTGTTTGAAAGCATCACAGAACTAACAACGTAGGAAAGAATCTGGATTGAGACCATGGAGAGGTAACTCAGGAGAGTGCACGGGCTAATCCTGGAAGAGGCAATGTTTTTTTTCCCTAACAGAAACCTAAGCAGAGTTTTTCTAACAGAAATGACAGGTCAGGGCATGCCGAAAAAGAAGGGTCATGGGTAAGGCTCCCCAAATGGAGGTCAAGACTCGGAAGGAGCACACTCCAGGAGTGAGACAGAACAGGAGGGGCAGGCTCTTGAGGACTGTTGCCGTGACTCGTCATCCCCGCTCCTGACTGGGTTATGGTGATGTGGGGCTGCTGGAAATCTTAAGAGAACGGAACAGATCCATCCGAGGATAACAACAGCCTGCACCGCAGGCTAGGGTCTCCTGTGTGCATCAGACCGGCTCAAACTCACCATCCTCCTGCCTTAGCCTTCCAAACACTGGGTTACAGGCATGTATCAATCACTAAGCTCAGTCTGCAACATTTTAATATACAATGCTTGATATCTAATAAAATAAGACATAATAAAAATCAGGATCATTAGCCCATCAAAGTCAAACTCTCAGGGATTCAGATAACGAAATTATATTACTGTTAAATGATATACTGTATAAGCTATAGAAAGTTAACATCTTCAAAGAAAAACAACAGTTGGAAATGCTAGCAGGCAGCTGGAACTATTTGAAAGAGCCAACAGACATTCCAGGACGGAGTGGCACCACACTTAAAAACACTCATCAGGCCGTGAGCAGCAGAGCCACAATCTCCCAGGGGACTTCACAAGCAGTGTCCACCATGAAGCACAGACGTGGGGCTGGCAGTCATGGCAGCTGGGCCCCTGACAGTGACGAGGGACTGCGAACATTTCCTCACAGAAGGCCTAGACCAGAGATTCCGGCCACCACTTATCCCTCGGGCTCCCGGCTGAATGTGGTCTTGGTGCTGGAGCATGAAGGAGTTCGTAGGAGGCTGGCTGGTGTTGGGCAGCCTTAGTAATCATCACCCAGTGCTGGGGGCTTTCCCGTGATGCAGCCCAGCCCACCAGTGATGCTAGCTTAGTCTTGCAAAGCCAGACCTGGATGGACTTTTCTTAGATTGTT